GTATATTGTATCTATATGTATTTATTATATATATATAGTGTGTTGTGTGCGTGTGTGTGTGTGTGTGTGTGTATAAACTTTACTGAATAATCCGGTGTACACTTCGCTGCAGCTGTAGTTATAATGTAAGCTACACGCCTAGAAAATATGCTGGCAAGGTTGGAAACTGGAAACGTTAAGTACATGAGCCACGTTAATGAGTGCAGTCAAGTAGTACATACCTTTCGATTCACGGATGTCATCAGGAAGCGATGACTCTTTGATGGGTGGTGCCTTCTTACCAGATGTATTCTTTTGCAGAAGATCTTTGAGCGAATCACTCAGTCCTCCAGACCCTGTTTCATTTGTATTAGACACATCTACGCTGTCGTTTGTTCCCGTTGCCTTCTTGTCCTCTTTTGCTGTGGTGGCATTATCCGCCGCAACTCCTTTCTTATCATCTCTATTTTTTATCTCTTTATTCAGTTTACTAGCCTTCTCTACTATATTGTCTGATTTCAGCTTATCTTCAGCTAACTTAGCCTCTCTTATTGCCATCTCCCTCGTATTTTGTCTGCGTTCTTCCGCATCGTTGACCAGCCTTTGTAAATTTCTTTTTAAAGATGCATGATTCTTAAAGAGCTGTGGATTTGCAAGCCCTCGCGTCACCTCGCGTTGCAGCCCCTCAGTAAACACAACGGACGGCATAATGATATAACGTAAGTAGTGTATGCCCAATTGCAACAGGTCCGTATGTTAATATACTTCTATATATTTGCCCTTTTATATATGTAGATTACAATATATAGAGTATGTATTTATATGCACAAATATCACACTCCTTTTGTTTCTTTTTCTTTTACCTGTGCTGTTGTGTCGAGTGTATAATTTAGAGAGGACTATGGCTATGGTCGAGAGTGCCTGATGACTCGATGAGTAAATAGTCCCTACCCTGAGATTTGACAGACTCACGAATACGCGCCAAAATAAAATATGTGCTTATTTAGATATTTAGATTTTAGTTATCTGTCCTTAGGGTAATAGGGTTTCAAAATAGCCCCTGGAATAATCACAATAAAATGTAATTATTCAGGTGAGGCTATGAGAAAAAAAGGTGTATGTACTGCTAAAGTGCTATGTATAGATAATATTCCATTGAGTCACAATATACTAGGCGAACGACTATACTCGGACACTTGTATTCTCTGGGAGGAAACTTCTTTTTCCCACAGTCCTCAATTGCGTGGGCTGACAATATCAAATTCGAAAACGTGTGAACCCGCGCCATCACAGCGTGCGCTCATTTCAAATTCGGAACATCAGCGCAGAACCTGAGCACACCATCAATATTCACCTGACTTGTGGGATGCCATGATGCGACATTTTAATATGAACGCCTATGCTCTACAATCCTGTACGACATGTATTGCATATATACTGATGTGTACTTAAGTTTCCATCTGTTGATTGAGATTTTTCAGACCGTACGTACAGCACACGCACAATACTAACCGCGATGCTATTCCACATGCGTGGGCAGAGGGTGAGCACCACCTGGTGGCTTCAAACGTCTGTGAGCACCCAATCTCACGCCTTGACGTTCAATTGCAGCTTCTGCTGGAGGAACTCTCCACCAAGGAAATAGCCGCTTGGGGTATGTGGAAATGCGTCACAATACCGCAAGTGAGCGATGTTGGTTGGGTTCGGCAATATGCTTACTATCTTTTGACAGGTCTGTAGTACATAACAGTGTTCCTCACTTCGAAGTGCTCTATTCTTCGCACAGCCGCTGCAATATGTATAGACAATAGCACGCCCGTGCCAACTCTTCCACACGGAATACGTACATCTACTCTCATGGCTGTAAGTGGACGACAACTCCATAGGAAAACAGGGACGCACAATGAGCGTGCAGGAGCTCGATATCCGTTACGTAACGAAAAAAACGTCGGCACTGTGAGTTTGCTTTCGTTTAGATGAAGACGCTGCTATGCTGATACTAGAAGCATACTTCACAATTCCGCGGACCGCAGGGAATTCTCAGATACTATAGAATCACACTGAGGTGTACACGCCAAAGTCAGGAGCTATGTACAGGGCAGAATAACTGGTTGTGCGGGGTGTCGCGTGAAGAATTGTGGTTCCACGCTACAACAGCATCGAGAGGTATTTCAGGTGACGATTCCAGTACCGAACTCGCCCACGAGCTGGTCGATTTAATGGGCCGAGGTGCGAGCCTCCTTCCCTTTTCGAGAACTCTGTTTGATACAACAACATCGTACGTCAGTAAACATATCTGGAATTGAAAAGCCACACCGTGTCATGAAAATACTGTTACGGATGGAGCTAGAATTTATTCCAGAATCTGTGTGCATATGACTTCCTTAATAAATAACGTGTGCCCACATGTCACATCCTCCGAAGCACAATACCTTCACGTGATGCGGTGGTTTAGTTGATGAATACGACTTGGGTTTTTTCTTCTGACTGGCAGCAGCAGATGTGCGCTCTGCTTCTACCTTTGAGTCTGACTTTTCAATCATTTCCTTCAATGTTTGCAACGCATCCGCTTGTTGTCCTGACCATTTCGTAAGCTTCTCGACCATTTTCTGTGCGTACATTATATATTGTATTTCGTGACAATGTGTGATTGTACGTGTGTATGCGAATCCAAGCTGAAGTACAGATTTCTACGAATTGTGTCACCTTGTGGTTGTGCTGCTCCGGTCTCCTCAGGAAATGCATGGTAAAAGCACAGTATAATGGCAATCATGTGACCGTTCATACACGGCAACGATACGAAACCGGCCACTATAAAAGGAATTAAAAGTGGCAAAAACTCGCGTGCTGACCCTGTCAACTACAATCTCGCAGGTACAATACCACACACGCTTGCATATACATCGTCATGCCTAGCGACGACTCTCCAATATGGTTGTAAAAATATTGCACAGAACTCTCAACCCCCTCAACCAGCATCCGCATGCATACCACAAACGCCGCCGGCCTAGGATCCCTGCCCACACACGCACGCACTCGGATCTCCTCTTTGCGCTGGTCAATCTTAGCCTTGAACAGGTCCAGGTACACTCCGTGGATAACCACATCCTCCAGCAATCGTGTGTCGTGCAGATCGAGCTCGTCTGACATGCGTGCGTATGAGATGCGTTGCTCACCGGCGGACGCGACTGAAAGAATGGTCAACAGTCGCAGCTTGAGAAGGGCTGGAGCCGTTAACGCTGGGAGTGTAGGCCTAGAGTGGGATAGGGAAACAGTGCAGATTATGAGGCCACATTTCAATAGAACAAGGCAATTAAGCGATTTCTCTGGTAGCAATTCTTCTATGCGCAGTATAGCTGAGCAATACATACGTGCAAAGAAAGCATAAAGCTCAATACTATCCCGTCAATCACATTGCGACGGGCCTTTTAAATGCTACCGAATTCTTAACCACGCTATATTGCTGTATATGAATAGCTCATTTCCGAAACTATACGAGCATTGCCCTCTCCGATTCTGGTATGATTGGCAATTAGGTCGCTCTCGCAACTCTACAATAACATATTGAGAAACAGAAGCACTAAGCAATTGCGCACAAATCTGAGTTCTCAAATATGCATGTTAAATACAGAAGCTCACAATACTTCTCCAATAACATCCCCTTCGTATGTCTAGCTAGTCATGTGAAAATAATATTCTATATACACAGAAATAAACTGCATACAACTCTCGATCCAAGAAAAATCACAAAACTATAGTGCCAAATATCTATCAGCAAAAGGAATATCAGTTACTAAAATAAATAAATAGTAAATACATGTACATA